AAGCTGATACGAAAAAATATACTCTTAAAATCATTTCAAAAAGAAATTAAGCATCTAACCATAAATTATTATTATTATTTCGGGCTGAAATTGCAGCGTTTGCATTATCATTTTTGATAACATAATTACAACTACTGCTACTGACATTTGACACTAATAAAGGCTAGGATAGAGAAACACACTAAACAATAAGGCAAAGAAAAAAAGCTATCAAATTGTGCATTTTGATCACGTATCGATATTAGATAAGGATAAACTTATAAAGCCCGAAATTGACCCGATTCACTATTAAAATTCACACTCTTGTTTCTTGATATTCCAGTTGGAGACTTGGTACCATTAACAGCTCTGGAGGCATCAGTTTCTGTCATATTGCAAATGAGATGAAAACCAACTGTATAAGGAAACAAAATACAAGCTTATCATTACAAGAATTTCATAATCTTATAGATCAAACATGCCACTAATTTCCAAAATGTCCTCAACACACTAATAATATGTTTTTAGATTTTTGTTTTTTTAATTTGACATAGTGTGGGTGACTAAAAACGATCTACACATGTTAATTTCACTACTAAAGATGGAGTCTATTTATTTTTAATATTTTGATTCCATATTAAAAATAATTCAAAAATAAAATTTTAAATATATCAAGTCAATATGTAAATGTATATCATATTTTACTAAAGCTACCAACAACAACAATTCATTTCTCCTTTTAATTGATCACAAATCTGTTTTTAAATTAATTTGCAGGATCCCCAAGGGATGGACTATCACTCTGTTGTAGAAGGTACTGTTAAGCGGTACAATAATTGTTTCTAATAATCTTGAATGCATATCTTTTGAGAAATCTTTTATATCCCACCTTGTTTTCTCAGGTTGATGGTATTATTGGACTTGATGGCTTAGTAAATGATATTCTCTCAAATGAAATGACTATCAATGTACCATGTTACAGAAAATCTGAAGAATTCCCAGTCTGTTATATGCTAAACTAACACGACGACAATGGCCGAATTTCTTATTAAAATCAAGGAGGATTTTAAGAGCAATGTAAATTTTCCATGTTTTTTTCAATTGTTGAAACAATCATTTATGCTTTTCTTTCATCTTAGTGGACTGGGCTCTTTTTTATTAATTTTTTATTTATTATTTTTTAATGCACTCATGATCACTATTCATACATTTCTAACAAATATATAGTTTACAATTTTTTAATTTTATTTTCCAACAATATGATATAAATTAACTTTTTTAATAAAATAAAGGGATTTAAACAATTATTAAATAAAAAATCATGGATTAATCACTAAAACAGGAGATTAATTTTTTTAAAAAGTTATGAAATGTAAATTTTATGCTCGAAAGGGAACCGCGAAAACAACAGAAACTAACGACAGTTGAGATGGAAATGGACTAAAGAGTACAATCTCAATAGTTAAATTAAAATAACAAGGTGGCACTTGTCGCACGATATAATATCCAATGGTTAAAATTGAAATGATTTTTTATGTGTCTTAATCCGACGGTTCAGTAGCTAACCAGTTCTTACAATAAATAATTAAGTTCCCTATATGTTTTGGCATTATTATTAATCTTGACTAATTTGGTTGCTGAATGAAAGTCCATTTAACTTGGTTCATTTCATTTCAAATTTTAATTTTCAGATTTTAAATTTTTTAACATAAAAGAGACTGTAGATAAAGAATACGTTTTTAGATATTAAAATTTAAATAATAAAATTTTTAAATATTATTTTTAAAATTAATTGCGTAAACTAATAAGGTAAACTTCGAATTTGAGAATTGAACTCTACAATTCAAATGTTATTTCTTTTACTATTTTTCAAAATTTAAAACTTTACTAACAAATTAAGAAAACGGTTTATTACCGCTTTTATTTATTTATTTATTTATTATTATTATTATTATCACCTAGTTGCACTAAGTTCCATTCTTGGAATGCCAAAAAAAAACTCATGATTTTTTATGGTAATTCTTTTTAAAGGCAAAGAATATTATTAACGAATATAAACCCTCACTATGAAATCCAATTAATTCCATCAACTTAGATTTTTTTTTTTTTTTAAATGTCAGCACTTTAAAGTTTAATAAAAATATATTTCTAAAATTTAAATATCGACAACTATGTTAGTGTTGGACTAATATTTTTGAGAAATAAAATTGAGTTTTTTTTTCTATTAGTTTTTTAGGGTATGTTATAAATGGTTGAAGGTACGGAATTGATTGAAGCAAAAATGATATGTTATATAAATCAAGTTTTTTAGGTCACATATGAAAATGAAACATTACAAAAGACTAATTAAAATTAATGATGTAATTTATTTTAATTTAATTCCGACATTCAATCAAAATGAAAAGACAAAAGAAATTGCTCAAAAGACGAAAGAATTGGAGATGGGAGAAAGCCAGTGTAAATCCTTTACTAAAAATACATTTAATTTCTAATCAATCCCATTGATTTTTAAAAAGTGAGTGAATAATCAAAGTAAATTATAAACCCCAAAGACCCGTCTTAAAGAAATTTAATAAAGTGTTTGTAGAAGAAAGACTTTGGTCTCATCATAGAAGACTTGGTGCTATCTATGTCATATGATAACTGTTTTAAGGATGTTCAATTGGCTTTTCCTTTGATCATCTCCTTTATCATTAAAAAAAAAAAAGAATTTTGCTTCTTTTTCAAATATCAACATTTTAAATTTAATATAAAATATATATTTAAAAATTTTTAAAAAGTGAGTGAATAATCAAAGTAAATTATAAACCCCAAAGACCCGTCTTAAAGAAATTTAATAAAGTGTTTGTAGAAGAAAGACTTTGATCTCATCATTTTAAATTTAATATAAAATATATATTTAAAAATTTTTAAATATTAACGACTAAACATGTGTTTCGCATTGTTTTGTGTTTGGTAATTGTTTTCACTTTTTTTGAGGAACTAGACTCATGAATTCAATTTCACACATGAATTGGTTTCTACTTTTTCAGAAAATGTAAACATTGCTCAGAAAACATTTTTTAAAAGTCAATTTTCGTAAAATGAATAGAGCCAAAAATTCAGTTATGAATAAGTCTAACTTTAAACTTTCAATAATAAATAAATAAATAAACTCCCCAACATTGACTTAAAGCGATAAATGGTGAAAAGACAAAAGAAAATTCATTGAAAATCACTTATGTGCGTATGAAAGAAGTAGAAACCCTGTGTAAAATTCCTTACTTAAGCTTTCTTTTTGGTAACTATCAAAATAATTCCCTAATGTTCATTTCTTCATTTTTCTTATTTGGATGTTTAAAATATTTGAAAGTTAATTTTCACTAAAAATATTTTTTAAAAGGTTTATTTCAGATTATCAAACGGAGCCTCAAAATACATTTAATTTTCAATTAATTCCATTGACGGGGTAGCTGAGTCAATAACCAAATTATATAACCCACAAAGACCCGTCTAAGGAAACGCTTAAAGTTTTGGAAAATAAAGACTTTGTCCCATTATTATAGAAGACTAGTTTTATCAATACCGTATGATAATTGTCCTAATTCCTTTTAAGTAATGTTTGGTGTATAATATGATGAATAGAACAAGATAATAATTATTTTGTCTCAGTTTGATTTAATCCTTTTAAAATGAAAAGAATAATTTGTAATCCATGAGATTAAATTTAAATTTATTATTATATTCTTAAAAATTATTTTAATAATTTAAATTATATAAATTTAAAAAATAATAATTTTAACCAATAAATAAAATTATTCTAATTTAATTCTTACATAAATCAAATATAAAATAGAATGACATTATTTAATTTGATTCCATTCACAATATTATTTTATCTTATCTTATTTATAATTTTGTATACCAAATATGCTATTAATTTTGAAAATGTCCACGTCACACTAATAATATCTTTCTAGATTCTTTTTTTTTTTAATTTGACACGGTGTAGATGACTAAAAACCATCCACACAAGTTAATTCCAACTATTAAAGATAAAGTTTCATTTTCTTGTTACTATTTTGTTTGCATATGAAGAATACGTCAAAAGTAAAATTTTAAACGTATCAAATCAATACGAAATATTTATTCTTAATAAAATTAAACTAAGGTTAAACCCAAAATATCTAACTGTATTTTCAGGAAAAAAAAAAAAAAAGATCACGAAAGATCAAAGGAATAACATTTAGGATATGAGTACTATTAATAGAGGTCAAGTGGCCCCATGTAAGTATGCTCAGTTTGGCTTTTCCTTTGATCATCCGCTTCTTTCGCATAGAAAAAAAAAAAAAAAAAGAATTTTGCTTCTTTTCATAATGTATTAGCATTGTCTATTAATGGGTTCATTCCAAAAAATATTAAGAATTTAACACTTTTCAAAGAAGTATTGGGTTTAAATAATTTAGAAGGTAAGGTATGAATTTGCCTTTAAAATGCATGCAAATTCAAGAAGTGGGGAACAAAACAGCTGTCATTACATGTACAGATCAAGACTTTAATGGTTAGAATTGCATAATTATTTGCAATAAACTGATGGTGAAATGAATAGAAAGGAATATTTTAATTTCGATTAAGAAAATGAATACAAAAATGGGTTTTCAATCTCCATCATGAGGACTTATAAGGTCAAGCAACGGAGAGGAAACTTGTGAAACTAACGGAAACTCCTACTAGAATTACTTTCCAATTGCAATGGGAACAACAAACGTGGTCTACCTTATTTAAGCAAGGTTTATGGGGTCTACCTTGTTCGTCCTAGCTATCATTTTATCAATTTAGGTTCCTCTCTTTCGAACTCTTTTCTTGATACGCATCCCAAAATCATGAACAATACCTATTTCCTTTTTCTTTCATTTTTGTTTATGCAATGTTTCATGGCTAGCTTAGCTATGACTATGAGGAATCTCGCCACCGATCAATTTGCACTTCTCCAGTTTAAAGACCATATCCTTGATCCTCACAATGTCTTGGCAAACAATTGGACAGCCTCCAGCTCTGTTTGCAACTGGCTTGGTGTTTCTTGTGGTGTCGGACATGGAAGGGTCACATCCTTGACTCTCCCAAACATGAATTTTACAGGAACTATCCCTCCACATCTTGGAAATCTCTCATTTCTACTCTATCTCAACTTGAGTAGGAACAATTTCTATGGCAATCTACCCCAAGAATTGGGGCAACTTCATCGTTTGAGGCTCATTCATTTAAGCTTCAACGGCCTTAATGGGGTGATTCCGTCATGGCTTGGGAAATTACATAGAGTTGAACAGTTGCTAATGAGAAATAATAATTTCACAGGCACAATTCCTCAAACACTTGTTAACATGTCCAACCTAGAGATCTTGAACTTGGGAAACAATCAACTATCGGGTCAGATTCCATCTTCTATCTTCAAGATTTCCCCTTTGAAAGAGATTTATCTCCCATATAATAATCTTTCTGGTAGTTTGCCAGATGATTTATGTGTCCATCTTCCTAAACTTGAAGTGCTTTACTTGTTCATAAATGAATTATCCGGTTATATTCCATCAAGTATAGGCACATGCAACAAGCTTCAAAAATTAGCATTGTCTGCTAATCAATTCAATGGGTTCATTCCAAGAAATATTGGAAATTTAACACAACTCAAAGAAGTATATTTGGGTTTAAATAACTTAGAAGGTAAGCTTTAATTTGATTTCTTTAGTCTAAACACATTTTCATTTCTTTTTCATTTTTTCAATAGAAAAATTTTTAATTTTCTAAACTAATATACTAAAATAATTAAACAAAAATAGGTAGTCGAGCTAACACTTTGATTATTTACCTTGTTTGCAGGAGAAATTCCCGAAGAAATTGGTAATCTTTTTAGTTTAGAGATATTAAGTGCAAGAAGTATGGGCCTTACTGGTAAGATTCCAGCTTCCAGCTTCCATCTTCAACATTTCTTTTCTGACCATTGTTGCTCTACAAAATAATAGTTTATCAGGTAAATTGCCTGATTATATGTATCATCATCTTCCTAAGCTTAAGGGGCTTTGCTTAGCTAAGAATCAATTATCTGGTAATATTCCATCATATAGGCAAATGCTATAATCTGCAAAGTTTGATATTATCTATAAATCAATTCACAGGGCTCATTCCAAAAAGTATTGGGAATTTAACCGTGCTCAAAGAAGTAGATCTAGGTGAAAACAGATTGGAAGGTATGCTTTTGCCTTTGATTTTTTTTCTATGTTAAAAGCATTCTATTTATTAATTTTTTTATTTTAGTTCATAATCTTTTTAAAGTTATTTGGTTCCACATAGATTTTTTCGTTAGAATTTTTTAGTGCCAAAGTTAACCTAATAAGACTCGGTGCTAGAATATTTTTTATTTGTATAATTGCAACGTATCATCAGCCTCTCTTCGCTACCATACACTAGCTAAATTTTCTTTTTTTGAGGGATAAAAATTGAATTAATCTGGCCCAAAATAAATATAGTTCAAGACTAGTGCTATAAAATGTATTTTGAATTTAAACATGTTCGAAGAAGTACATATAGCTAAAAGTAATTTAGAAGGTATGCTTTTGGCTTCGATTTTTTTCCAAGTCGAAAAACATTCTATTAAATGTGCTTTTCACTTTTAGTTCACAGTTTTTGTAATTAGAGTTAGCAAATTTTTAGTGCCAATTTATTGCCATATATTTTTTATTTGCATATACTCAAGTATATATGATCACAACCTATTTCAAAATTTGAATTAAATAATGTTTATTTTTAAAAATTTAGCACTGCATTTGACTGTAAAATTTTATGATATTTTATTAAAAATTAAATACTAAATAACTGTTTTAAATATTTTAAAGTATTTTACATTAATAAAAATTTAAAAATTAGTTAAAATAAACATAATACAAGTTCAACGTAAATGATACATTTTTTCTTAAATAAGAATGATTGAAAATCTCGTTGACCTCACTATCTTTGGCTTAAACCCCCTGAAGACAGCCTTGAATAACTTAACTTTTAGAGCCCTGTCACCTATGCCCATAAGCTAGGCAATAAACCCACCCAAAAATCCTACAAGTAACCAACCACCCCACTAACAAATTCTTCACAACAACTCAATAAATTAAACCACCAAACAACGACTACAACAAAAAGATTTGGATAGAATAGTATCGCGACCAAGACCTCCTCTCCTAATGCTGATAAACAAACCCACTTGCCCGCCCGCTTTATGTCCTCCGTTTTCTTTTATAAATTAGTTTCCTCATCCCCTGTACAGATAATTCTTGTCTTCCAGCTCGTAGATCTTTCGAATTACCGCTTGCTTGTCTCATCTCGCCACGATACCCAGTTGTTTCGCCACCTCCCGAGTGGCTTCCGCTTCCCTCCACTCTTCTGCCTCTTCCCAAACTCTAGATAACACTCTATTTCGACTCCGAAAACCTCCGTCTGAGATGGAACCGTTTGCAATCTTATCAGATTCTTCGGTTACTGCAGAGATTTGTGCCTCCCTTCTATTCTTTTTAACGGTTCTTTTTTCTTTTTTTGTTCACCCTTCCTATTAATTTCTCCTGTATATCCTCGTAGAATTTCCACTTTTTTGCCTTTCTCCGAATCTCGGAAGTTCCCTTCCCAGCCCTCAATTCTTCTGTTTCTTCAACTATTAATGGGCTTACTTCCTCTACATCATTAAACCGGTCACTCTCTTTCACGACTTGGCCCAGGCCCATTTGCTCCACTCTATCAAATGCAGCCTTATCCAATGGGCCTAGCTGATCCACTCCTTGCAAGGTTCCAGTTATAATATCCCTAATTCTGTCTACACCTTCCTCTTGCCACATCTGATTCCTCTCTCCCTCTACCTTTCATTTGACCATTCGAGCCCATATTGTTGTTTCCTATGCTAGATCCCTGGGAATTGCTTTCACTCTCTGACACCTCTCTAATTCCATCTTGTTTTTTCCATGGCCTGTAACATTACTTTCTCTCCTTCCAAGCAACATTTCCGAATTACAAGGTGGTAATTGTAGCTTGTACCCTTTCTGCTTGCACGGCCCGTCTTTCCAAAATATTTGGCAGCTCTCTCCAAAGCAGAAAATTTCAATATAAAAAAAAAAATTAATGAAAGGAAACGTAACCCAAATGCCAAAACTAAGAAACAGTGAATATGGGAAAAAAAAATTATTGTAGAGTTAATAATTCGTGTACGTTAAAATATTAATAACTTATATATTTGTGTTATGTTTTATTTAAAAATCATAACAAATATCAAATTTTTTTTTTATTTTGTTAAATTCATTTAGTTAAAATTTTAAATCATATTAATTTTATATTTTTTATTTATATCTGTCAACATATCATTTTTTATATTATCAAATATAATTTATTATTTTTACCAGTATCGAAATCTATTAAATGAATCTTAAAGTAAAATATAGCTCTCATTTATTTTTTTAGTATAGGACACTGCAGTCCAAAATTAAAAAAAAATACTATAGGAATTAGAGTTCAAATCTCAAACTTACTAAATATTTAATTTTAAAAATATTACATGAACCAATTAAATTAATTTTAAATTCACTTTTTCTTGATGAAGTAGTATTTAGGATTATCAATTATGCATATTGTCTTGTGAGTTAATAATATAATTGAAGGAATAATTAAGTTATAATTAACCCACAAAAGAGTTAGTTCAATTGGTAAAGAAAGGAGTTTCAATTTTACACTATCTTAAGTTCAATTCTTGTAGGAAACATTTCAAAAATAAAGTCTTGATGCAACAAATCAATAAAGAAAATGCACCATTAAGATGTCTAAAAAAGAAATTAAATCTAAACAAAACTTGAAAATATATGGTACCATATTTCTAAAAAAAAAAAAATGATTAAAATATGAAATTAATCTCTTATATATGACAAAAATGTGTCACAATGTACAAGTTTGTAAACTTGACCGCTAAATATAAATAAAAATAACTTTATCAACATTTTTTATTTAAGTGTTATTGATCATCTAATTAATCTTATTTCTTTTAAAGAAATATCTTAAGCGTAACTCAAGTTTTTAAAAAAGTAAATTTTAGTCTATAAAATCAAAATAAATTCAAGAGTATGGTTATGTTCAAAAAAAATTATAAATCCTTACAACATTCATTCAAAGGATAGTACTATATGATTTCGTGTTATTCATTAATCCTTAAAGTTACGTTTAAAAAAAATCCTCAAATTGAAAATTATAATTTTAAGAAATTTTCCTTACTCCAATTGTTTAGTAATAATTTAAAAATATTTTCTACATCAAGAGTATTTAAGAAAATTGCTATCAACCTTCAAGAGACTGTGTTATCGGATTTTATTCTTAAAATTTTATTTTTTTCAATCAATAAAATTCTTTAAATATATTGGTAGGATTTTATTTCTCAAATGAGATTCTCAAATAGTTTGATAATGTTTAATTTCAATTTTTTTTTTTAAATTCATGAAATCCTTAAATACTTTTGTAGAATTTTATGTCCCAAATAAAATCTTTTAATAGTTTGATAGGATCTTTTAAATGTCTTTAAATTTTTTAAAATTATGAAAATCTTCTAATAATTTGATAAAATTTTATTTTTCAAAATAAAATTCTCCAATAGTTTGATAGGAATTTTTAAATTTATTTTAAATTTTTTCTTTAAATCCACGAAAATCCTTCAATAATTTGATAGATTTTCATAAATTTAATTTTGAAAAATTATTTTTTAAAATTCATAAAATCTTTCAATAATTAAGTAAGATTTCATTTTTCAACAAGATCCTCTAGTGTGGTAAGATTTTCTTAAATTTATTTTAAAAAATTTTTAATCAATAAAAATCCTTCAATAATTTAATAGATTTTTGTAAATTTAATTTTTTTAATCCTTAAAACACAATTTTTTATTTTAAACAAGTAAAATAAATAAACAAAAAATTACCAAAACTGGTTTCAATTCAATGGCTCACAAAATGGCTTGGCTCAGCTCCACACACAAGTTCAAGTTCAATGGCTTGGGTAAGAGAAATAATAATTTTACATGCACGATTCCTAAAAAACTAATTAACATGTCCAATGTAGAGATCTTGGACTTAGGATACAATCAACCGTCCGGTCAGATTCCATTTTTCATTTTCAAGATTTCCCCTTTGAAAGAGATTTATCTCCAACATAATAGTTTTTCTGGTAGTATGCCAGATGATTTGTGTGTCCATCTTCCCAAACTTGAAGTGCTTACTTGTTCATGAATGAACTATATAGTTATATTCCATCAAGTATAGGCAGATGCAGCAAGCTTCAAAAATTAACATTGTTTGGTAATCAATTCAATGGGTTCATTCCAAGAAATACTGGAAATTTAACACAACTCAAAGAAAAATATTTGAGTGTAAATAACTTAGAAGTTGACCTTTAATTTGATTTCTTTAGTCTAAACGCATTTTCATTTCTTTTTTTATTTTTTCAATGCAAAATATTTGATATTCTAAACCAATATACTGAAATGGCTGGTCAAGCTAACACTTTGGTTGTTTAACTTGTTTGCAGGTGAAATTCCTGAGGAAATTGGTAATCTTTTTAGTTTAAAGATATTAAGTGCAAAAAATATGGGCCTTACTGGTCAGATTCCAGCTTCCATCTTCAACATTTCTACTCTGACCCTTGTTGATCTACATAATAATAGTTTATCAGGTAGATTGCCTGATGATATGTATCATCATCTTTCTGAGCTTAATCACCTATTTTTCTCCAATTAAAACTTGTTTTCATTTTTTCTAGTTTTTCATTCTGAGTTTTTTCAAAAATAACAACACAAAAGACACAAATGAAAACAATAAATAAAGAAAATATAAAAAATAAATAAAGATAGATAAATAAAATAAAATGTAAAAATAAAAAGGATAAAGACACATAAATAAAATAAAGTGTAAAGATAAAATAAAAAATAAAGATAAATAAATAAAATGTAAAAATAAAATAAAAAGATAAAGAAAGGAAATTTAAAATTTTTTATTCTTTTTTAATTTTTGAAATAAAATAAAATAAAATAAAATAAAGAAAGTGAAAAATGAGTCTAAGCCAAATCAAGGCCAATTGGTAAATTAAAACCCAAAGCAATTGTTACCCAAAGTCCAAATGTTGATTTAAATGGGCTATTTCGAAATTTAATTACAAATCTATTGAACCTAAATGAACTTCAAAATTTGATAGATCTTGAATACAGTATGGACTTAATCTCTTTTCATTTATTTTTACAATTTAAATTCTTGTATTCTTATATGAAATATGAATTTCAACCTCTTCTTTTACACTATTCAATTGGTGATGTGTCTTTATTAGCTTGATGGTAGTAATACATTTCACTTCTAAAACAAAGATAATTTTTTTCCTTTAATTTAAAAAATAAAATTTATTGGATTGGTGGTTGATTTGTTTGTACAAATTTTTCTACGAAAATAAACATAAATTGTAAACATATACATTATTTTTCTTTCAACTTTTATTTTCTTTCAATTTAGTTTTTATCTTGTCAAATTTACTCCCTTTGACAAAATTGTGGTAAGCACAAAATACTAAAAGATTTACTTTTTTAACAGGTAACTTACCCCCCATGGCTAGCCTTCAAAAACTTGAAAAGCTCGTTCTATGGCAAAATAATCTTAGCGGAAACATTCTCAACTCCATCTCTAATGCTTCCATGCTCAGGATGCTTTCCGTAATAGATAACTCCTTCTCTGGCCTTATTCCAAATACTCTTGGCAACTTAAGACATCTTGAGTGGTTCCAAATTAGGGGTAATCATTTTATCACAGAACCTGCTACTCATGAGTGGAGCTTTCTCTCTTCTTTGGCAAATTGCAAGAATTTGACATTTCTGGATGTTTCACAAAATCCATTGAATGGCATTCTTCCAACTTATATTGGGAATCTTTCGACATCTCTTAAAAAATTTTTTGCTGATGACTGTGAGCTTCAAGGTAATATTCCATTAGAAGTCGGCAACTTAAGCAACGTGTTTCTTTTAGAGCTTACCAACAATAAAATAAGTGGATCTATTCCAGCGACTATAGGAGGACTACGAAATGTCCAAAGTTTGACTCTTGATATTAATGAGTTACAAGGGCCCATCCCTGAAAAAATCTGTGGTTTGGAGAGATTATATACATTGGAATTATCTTTTAATAAGCTCAGTGGACCTATGCCTACTTGTTTGGGTAATTTGACTTCTTTAAGAAATCTTTACTTGGGATCCAACAAATTGAGTTATGCAATACCCTCAAGCTTGTGGAGCCTTCAAGATATCTTAGAAATAGATTTGTCATCAAACTACTTTAGCGGCTCACATCCACTTGATATCGGACATTTAAGGGCACTAATGTATTTGAATTTGTCAAAGAATCTACTAATGAGTGATATGGTGTCTACAATTGGGGGCCCTGAAACATTGGTTTCTTTAGATTTATCTAATAACAAGTTTCATGGTCATATTCCTGAATCATTTGGTGGCTTGATTAGTTTGGAATTCTTGGATTTATGCAATAACAATCTCTCTGGAGTTATTCCCAAATCATTGGAAAAGCTTACGAATCTAAAATATTTTAATGTTTCCTACAATAGATTGGAAGGAGAAATCCCCACTGGAAGATGTTTTCAAAACTTTTCCTATAGATCATTCATGAAAAATTATGCACTTTGTGGTCCATCTAGATTGCTAGTCCCACCTTGCAGGAGTAGCATCCACAGAAATTCCAAGTTGACCATATTGCGTGTTTTAAGGTATGGTTTACTAACAATTGCCACTATTGTAGTAATAATAGTTTTTACTATTATATATAGAAAATGCCAAAGTAGGAGTATAACTCTACCTGTTAAAGAAGATTTGTTATCTTTGAAAACATGGAGAAGAATTTCATATGCTGAACTTTCACAAGCAACTGATGGATTTGGAGAATCCAACTTTCTTGGCTCAGGGAGTTTCGGATCTGTATATAAAGGGAGGCTTTCAGATGGGATGAATGTTGCAATAAAAGTTTTCAATTTGCAGATAGAGGGAGCATTTAGGAGTTTTGACACTGAATGTGAAGCTATGCGTAATATAGTCCATCGCAACCTTGTCAAGGTCATTACTTGCTCCTCCAATGTGGACTTCAAAGCCTTGGTGCTGGATTTCATGCCTAATGGAAGTCTTGAAAAATGGTTACATTCTGAACACTATTTTCTTGATATCTTACAAAGGATCAATATAATGATAGATGTTGCATCAGCTCTAGAATACCTCCATGCTGGACAACGAACTCCTATAATCCATTGTGACCTAAAGCCAAGTAATATTCTACTAGATGAAGACATGGTTGGGCATTTGGGAGATTTTGGCATTGCCAAACTATTAGAAGAAGATGATTTCATAAGACAAACCATGACACTTGCAACTATTGGATATATGGCACCAGGTGATATTTTGAATGCTTATGGTTATTTTCTCTCTTTTTTTCTTTACAATTTTTTCATATTCAGGATTTTACATTATATAGTTAGACAATCTTTTTAGAATTAATTAATGATCAATAATACTTTCGATTATGCTTGAAATGCAGAATTTGGATCAGCGGGAATTGTTTCCATAAAATGTGACATCTATAGTTATGGCATTCTTTTAATAGAAACTTTCACAAAAAAGAAGCCAACTGATGAAATTTTTAGTGAAACAATGACCATGAGGAATTGGATGAAAAGATCCTTATCTAAAGGAATGATTGATATTGCAGATGCCAATTTATTAAGAAGAGAAGATGAATATTTCATTATTAAAGCAAATTGTATATCATCCATCATGGAGTTAGCTTTGAAATGTTCAGCTGAGTTACCTGAGGATAGAAACAATACGGCAGATGTTGTGGCTATGCTCAAGAAAATCAAACATAAGCTTCTAATCAGCATTGAGCAAGTTTAATAAGGTATGAAATGTGTTAGCTTGTCATTATTAATTCACTCTTCATTTTCTATTCAATTCAGCGATGATTTGGCATGTTTTGTTGTTAGATTTAGACAAATTTTATCTCTTCAATCCTGTGCTATAAACCCAAGTACATAATTATAAGACCCTATACCCATCTCTTCAATCTTGTGCTATAAAATTCCTAAAACTGTTAAAATAAATAGAAAATGCATGCAAGAAACTAATTTTCCCTCTTTGCTCTCTCAATTGCTCTCAAGCATTGGGTTCTCGCAGCTACATTCACTGTTCTTTGCAATTCAAAGTTTCACTGCAAACCAAAACCGAGATTCAGAAGCAAAAACCAAGCAGCGGGCTATGCAGTCAATTCCAGTTTATATCAGCATTAAAAGATTTAGTTACTTTTTTATTTTTCAGATTGCTGATGTCTATTTACTCGGTTGTGTCTTTTATGTTGTAAGTTGCTTTTATCTTTTACTGAAGATTAGCTGTACTTCTGCTTGTAGAAAGATTTTCCCCTTCTTCTCTCTATTTAAGTAAAATATTTACCTATCAAAATAAGTTTTAAAGTACGTATTTCAATTTCATTTGTCTGAAAATGTAGTTGTATATTATTTTTGGCAATTAAAATTTCTGAATCATTCAGCTTTTGAAAATGAGTTAAAGCAATTGCACGGCCAAGCTAAGAATAAGGTATGGATCTTTACTCAATTTGATTATTGAGATTTAGTAAATAATTAATTTCCTTACACTATAAATTTTGGAATTTCTAACATTTGTTTAGATTCCCTGAATTAATGGTCCAATTGTTGTTGACTTTGATATCTTGAGGCTAAATTCTCTGGCCAACCACTCCCTTATGGATAAGTAAGGTTACTGTCATCATTTGGTTGTGAAAGGTTAGAGGCAGGATAGGTTAACCAACTCACCAGTATATACAAAATTGATTTCTTGCAAGATGTAAAAGACATGTTTGCAACACCTATGAATAAATTTAGACGACGCCTAAAATTTCCCAGATTGTTTTTGCCTCATCCTATCAATGATCTAAGCCAAGTGAAATGCTCAGCTCTTATTTTTAGTTGTGACTTGTCAATTCTTCATCCGGGATTCATTGAAGATTCTTGAGGGGAGGCTCAATCTATGTGTTTGCTCCCCTTTCTCTCTGTTTTGGGTAAAGTTGACTAAGCTGCTTTTTATGTTCTTCAAACAAGATTTTATATGATTTTGTACCCCATTAAGTTTGAGGGGAATGTTTTCCTTATCATTTGTATTATGATTCATAACCTATGGTTTAATTATTCACATCTTTGTGGTTAATATTATTATATCATTTAATTGTCCAGATAACTAGAATCTGTCAATCTGCAAACCGCAAAGACAAATTTGGCATAGGGAATATGGTAGATACAAGTTCCAATTTATCCTCACAAATGAGACTGTATGACCAAATTATACATGCTGATCCAATGAACTTTCAACAGTATGCAACAGTTGAGTCAAGGGGAACTATCAGAAGCTTAACATCAACGAACAGCAAGAGGTTGTAGAGATAAACTGAATGAGGTTCCAAAAAGAGAAAACAAAAGACATAGTGATGTGAAGCATCGGCTAAACCACGAGGTAATGAAATAGAAATGTCTTTCTCTTAATTATTTTTACTCGTTTTTCCTAGTAAAGTTTTTATATGAGGTTAATGCTATCTCCAAATGAAAATATGGGAGAACTTAAATGGCTATGACAAATCAAGCTCTATTATCGTGATCATGAAGCTAATACTGCATATTTCAAGGGGCATTTTGTAAGCCTCTCAATAAACTTGAAGATGTCAATGACAAATTGAGGCTCTATTGTTTATATGCCATGCTTATCCTTATGTTTTTTTGCCGGCTTTCTAGCTTTAAATCCAATATCTGCCATCACAACTTGAAGCACAAGATTTGTAGCATGGAAAACATTTTTTATTGATTCTGTCATTTCCTTTTGCTTGAAGTGGCTAATGAGAAAGAAGATAGTAAATAGCAGGGAAAGTTAAAGGGAATTATCACAAAGTCATCAAATTCACAGATGGAGAGGCAGATTCTGACAGAGAGCATTATCGATTGTAATAGGAAGATTTGATTCTTTAGAAGGTAGGGATGCTGCTGAATGTTCTTAATTCTTAGCAACATGTGAATCTGATAACATGTGACATTTTACGCTCTCTACTATTTTTTTCCTCATTAACAGTTCATTTCGACTAATAGAATGGCTGCAAAAGGCTTTTGTTTCCTAGCTTTTTTCTCCTCAAGAAAGTGACTAAACCAATTATCAGAACTTTATACCATACATCCTTAGAAACAAAATAGGGAAAAAAACATATATGTGGTATATAAATGTCTCTAAGGCTCTTTGGTGGCATTGCAGGTACATAAAAACTTCAAGGGACTTTTTAATGATGTACAACAGGTGGGAGATACAGTTTCCCAGTGTCTCTTATTCCTACTGTTGAGAGAATCAATGATGTATTTGGTGATGTTTCTGCAACTAGTCTAATAAATCCCAGTGCTGCTGTGACCTACAATCAAAGAGATGGATGATCTATAACTTGAGCAAGTTACTGAAAATAGCAGGGATATTTAGGTGGTGGGACACAATAAAGGATGCACTACGCATTAATCTCAATGCGAGATTTGCGATGGAACATTTGAAGAAAATTGCCCGAGCTTACTTTGGTTTGATAGGACGCCTACTGCTCCAGAGCATAGATGCAAGGATCTTACAGTTAAAGGCTGAGGTGGATGACTGGAAGAGGAACCGTGCTGAGACATATGAAGGATTTAATTTTGTGTATAGCTATTGCTGAGGAGTTCAATAAACTGCCTGTCAGCACAGGTCTATTTCCTTAGTCCTCCTCACTGTATACAAGATACAGAGGAAATAAACAAACCGTATTTACAAAGTAATGTACGCCCTTCTCATTACAAAAATCATTCAGTTATGGAATAATCGAAAACAATTATCTGCAGAAAACCATTCCTAAAAGTACTAGAATCCCAACAGTTGATGATATAAGTTACAATCATCATCCTGGTAAATGGAGTAACTGATATACTTATGGTATAATTTGCATTTATCTTGTGATTGCAAACTGATGAATATTTGCAAAATTTAAGAAAAATGAGAAGAGAAAGAAACCTGAGTAGAGGTTGGGTAATTTTGGCTTTAAATAAAAGCAGTAATCTTCAGAATCCAATTGAAAATATTGTCTGGACTGAAAGCGACATTTCGAAAAGAAAAGCATTACAAGAACTGTTTTAGGCTTTGATTTCACCAATATAAAAATGCTTGAAACTATTAATCTTTGTTGTGTTCAATATTGGGATATGAATTTGCTACATGTATCATTTTATCAATTTCAAATCTATTTTGCTAGTTTTCATTTTGGAGGTGGTCAGTCTGAGATCTTTGTGTATGCTTGATTGGTGTGGATTAATTCTGTCTAGTTGAATTTTCATGAAAATGCCAATAAAGATTTGACATTTATGGATTTGTAAAAAATTTTTGTTGATACTTGAGACTTCTAGAAATTATACCTTGGACACTGGAGCGATATTGCTTAAAAGACGATATCAATTTCAAAAATCAGATGGCCAATCAGGTATCTTCACCCCCTCTTAAAGTTAATTATTCTTCAAGTTCCGGAGAAACAAATTTGATCTTCATGGTTATACAGGAGTAGGTGATGTATCTTCTTTGCAACAAGCTAATTCAACAGAACATGTAGGACAAGAATCAACTGATAAATGTATTCATTCTGCAGGAGGTCAATCTGCCAAGTCATTACAGCCTTTTGAAAATAATTGCTCTGCAAATGAAGCCTGTGCCAAAATGGAAACTGAGCTTGAAGGAGAGAAAAATATGCAAAATTGGAAAACGATGGTACAATGGAAATCACTTATTAGGTATCTGTGCAAAGGGACAGCCGGTAGATGAATCTGTACAGTGCTTTAACCGTAATTGTTGCTCCAAAGAAGCTAGGACCGAGCTGGAAGACAGGCTTAGAATCGGGACAACTTCTAAAGAATGCCCCGCCGCAGAAATTAAATCTAATCCAAGTTTTTCTCTCTTAGACTAGGCCTGAATGTCATTGGAAAAGCAGCAGTAAAGAAGTAATATTTTAGAGAGAATGAAATACTCTAGGATGCAAGGTAAACAAAGAAAGAAACCAAGGCAAAAACTCTTGACGAATTAAATACTCTAAGAATTCAAGGTCAAGAAAGAAATAAACTTTAAATCTACGATTTTATCAATCGAGTCTAACTGTGGTTAAAATCTTTAGTAGAAAATCACTTATATATTGAGACGACGTGAATCAATCTAAGATTGAAATTTTAATTGAATTAATCTTCTATTAGAAGCTTGCCAACATTCATCATATATTTTTTTGTCATACGATGTATTTGCCTTAATAAATTATGCAAAGACTTGTATATACTCTTTCTGCTGAAAGGGCTACAAGTCCTTTTCTCGAGTATATAGTTAAAGCTTGTGCCCACGGCGAGCAACACAATTACAGTTATGCCATCATCTCCCAAATTCTTCCACGTGCGGACTTTACCGTCACCCACTCACCCTACCAGATCAACGATCCTGATCTTCTTTGCCCTCTTCACCTTCACTATCGTCTCTTTCCTCTTCGCCACTCTCCTCCGGTGGGTAGGTTACCGTTGTCGGAGCTCCGGCCCAGATCCATCTGGGTTCATTGGGACAGAAACGGGGATGGGAATAAAAGTGGAGCTGGTGGAGATGATGAATAATGGATGAAGAGGCATAAAGTTATGGGCTTTGTTGGGATCCAAACTGGGTTCGATTCGACCGATCAAAAACAGTCCTTGAGGAAGACTTGAATGCCTTCGGATCGTCAAGGCCTTCAATGGTATATAAAATTTTAGAACAATTAAGCTCTGTTTAGAAGTTACTCTTATTCACCATAGTCAAAGCAAGGTAACATTTTTTTAAGAATTGGAAAAGAAAAAAAAAACAGAAGCAACAATTTTAATTTTTAGTTTTTTTTCATTTTGTTTTTCAGGTTGGAAGAGGCAACATGATTAGCTTTTAGGTTTATAATTGGTACAACAAATGATAATTCAAAGATGGCAGAGCTGCTAAAAGAAGTTGCAGAATATGATGATTTCATTCTGTTAGATATAAAGTAGTTTCAGTAAGCTCCCATACAAAACGTTACTTCATTTTGAATATTTTAGTTATCGATTCATCATGTTATTCAATTGAAATAAGATCCCTTACTTTAGAATTTCTGCTTCAGGTTAGCATTCTTTAAAGCTGCATACGCACTCTTTGATTCTGAGTTTTGTGTCAAAGCTGCTGATGATATATATTTGAGGCCAGGTGACCTGATTTCTTGACTCTTTTATGCATGTGTTGGGTGGTATTCTTTGCCTTCATAATTCACTTTTATGTGGCTAGTTGACAGTGTTGTGCTATTGATTTGCAGGTCGGCTATCACTTCTATTAGCTAAAGA